TTTTTTTTAAATTGGTAACACTAGTTTAATTTTTCTCTGCATAGCAAAGAAAAATTAAACTAGTGTTACCAATTAAAAAAAAAAAAAAAAGTCCCAGACTCATTGCATATATTTCTCATGTTAGCCCTGGAATCAACCATTTCACCCATAATCTCACGTAGCTCTTAATATGAAAAGGTATTTAAAATTTCCATCTGGAGTACTAAGGTTGTTAACTGGGTGATAAACTTCTTGGTTTTACATTGGACAGAAATAAGAAAGACTGTTTTCTTTTTAAAGATGATTTTAAAAAATCATGAGTTCATACTAATGGTTTCAGTGCAAATATAAGATTACAGTATTTTTACCTATCAACTTTGATTTTTATATTTGCATATCATTTAACATAGTTCTGATGTTGTGCTGTAGATAAAGCACTGGACTGCAAGGTTGGCAGTTCAAACCCACCAGTCATTCCTTGGAAACCCTATACAGGGTTGGTCTAAGAGTCGGAACCGATTTGACAGCACTTAACAATAACAACAGAAGCATTACAGGATAAAACAAATACAGCGTCACACCAGAAGTCCACTGCTCCTATAGTCACAACAATACAACTAACAAAACTACCAAATGCACTTTAATAGTTTTTTAGGTTCTTTCTAGTCTTAGAATAAATGTCATCAATTCAAGAACTATGTTTTAAAGTTACTCTAAGCAGTTACTGTATGGGTTATGACAAAGTTTGTTATACAATTAGGTTTGTTTCTTTTATTAGTTTCTTTTAAATTTTTAGGGGTTGCTTTCTGAACAGAAAGTAGAATTCTAAAAATACTGTTCTGTACCTTGTTTTTTCTCTTCTTTACAATCTATCCTGAGGATCACTCCACATTAACCCATACTATTTTTTTCATTTCTTTTTTATAGTTACATAGTACTCCATCTGTACAGATGGATCAAAGTTTACTCAATCAGTTCTCTTTTAATGAACTTCTGGGTTATTTATCTTTTTCAATTACAATGATTGCTGCTATGAATTGCTGTAAGTGCACATTATTTTGTATTGCTATCAGTGTATCTTTCGAATTAAAAATCAAACAAATCCAAACCACTTGTCAATGAGTCAATTCTGACTCATAGCTATCCTACAGGACATTGTAGAACTACCTCATTGGATTTCCACAGCTGCAAATCTTTACGGAAATAGTCACATCTTTCTCCTGCAGAAAGCCTGGTGGGTTTAAACTGCTGACCTTTAAGTTAGCAACCCTGGTGATGCAGTGTTAAAGAGCTCAACTACTAACTGAAATGCCCAAAATTTAAATCCACCAGGAGATCCACAGGACAAAGATGTAGCAGCCTGCCTCCATAAAGATTATAACTTTGGAAACCCTATAGGACAGTTCTGCTCTATCCTATGTGGTCTCTAAGAGTTGAAGTTGACTCAATGAAACAGGTTTGGTTTTTATCTTTGGAACAGATACCTAAAAGAAGGTTTGCTATATCTAGCACAGCATTTGGTACTTACTGCTGCTGCTGTGTGCCATGGAGTTGATTCCAATTGATAGCAACCCTGCATAGGGTTTCCGGACTATAAATCTTTGAGAGCAGAAAACCTCATCTTTCTCCTGTGGAGCAGCTGGTGAATTCATACCTTGCAGTTAGCAGCCCAACTATGCTACCATTAAACACACAAAAAAATCCGCTAAGTGAATGAATAAGTAACTGAATGAATAAGCCCATATTATTAAAACGAAGAATACAGCATTTTACACTCCTAAAACTTAAACATACTTTTCAGCAGTTAACTCAGAAGTCTATTAGAAGATCTTTGGAATTTCCAAATTTGTAGGAAGTATACAAACACTATATATTTAAACAATCCTTTTAGAAACCAACATGGTAACTTAAATAAAAAAACCATAGCAAAGGATAAAAACTCATACAGAAGCAATGATAAGGTAATCAAAAATTTAGTAACAGGCTATAAATTTGACTCTAAGCTTTCTATCAGCCAATATAAAAGGGGATACCTTACCAGTTAAACACCTGCAGTTTCATGTGAAAAAACAATTTAATGCTCATGAAATGTATTACTTTCTTGGTACTAAGAATGGGAATTTTTCCCTCTGGTTCTTCATAAAAAGAACACTAGATAATTTAGTAATAGATGCAACAAGAAGCAATTTCCCCCAAAGTCATGCCATTATTGTGTGACTGTATTAGAGAGACTTGAGTTTTACAGCCACCTTGTCTTTGGTCTTAAGATGACTAAAAGTTTACCTTGGTTTCACCTGATGTTGTGGGGGAGGCTGGTGAGAATGCAGGATTTCTGATAGGAGATACGGGAACAAAGGAAGGTTGGTCTTTGGCTGAAGTAGATCCAAATGATGTTGATGTATCAGAGGGTGGTGAGTTCTCTTGTCTGTGAGGTAAGACGTGATCCACCACCCATCCAGAGTAAGCAGAGAGCTTGGGCAGAGACATACATTCTTCTAAAACATCCTAGAGAGAAAAGAAGTGTTAAGCCCATTGTGCCTTACTAAAAGCCTAAGAAAGCCTAAGCATAAACCAAAGCCATAGATATCATATTAACTATCAGAGATGAAAAGAAATTCATGTTTCCTTGTTAACGATCCTGACCATTATCCTTTAAATATATTAGCATTAAAATTATATAAAATAGAAACAAATGTTACCATATTAAGGAAAATATGTCAAAAGTTATGCCTAACCTTCTTCAGGTCCTAACTTTAAAAATAAACAAGTTATAATTTTAAAAATAAAACTGAGAAGCATATTTTTAAAAAGGCAAAAATGTGGCTACTGATGCAAAAGCCCATGACTTAAATGGTATTACAACAGAAAGTCTAGAAGTACTAGACACTCTCCTATATCTGTGTGGACAATTTACTCAACTGTATCAGTTAACAGTTCTCTACACTTGGTGCTTTTAACGAGAGAAGCTTATACCACTTTAATTCTAATTGAAGTACACAGCAAATTTTACATGGCTGAGATCTTTACTCAAGGCCAAGAAATGTTATCAGGAATAACATAAAAGGCTAAAGACAGTATTACAGTGATTACGGGCACTAAGTTTAAAACCAAACTTTCCAGGTTTGGAGTCCATCTCTGTGTTTCTCAGAAGTTACCCAGCATTTCTGTGGCTTAGTTTAATCACTTTTAGAATTAAAATCACAGGTAATAAAGGACCTCAGGAGTTTGTGCGAGGATTAAATAAATAATACATGTAAAGGACTTAGAAGAGTACCTGGAATATTGGTGTTGTTGTTAGGTAGGTACCTTTAAGTTGGTTCTGACTCATAGCAACACTATGCACTACAGAAGGGAACACTGCCCAGTCCTGTGCCATCCTCACTATTGTTGTTACATTTGAATCCATTATTGCTGCCAGGGCGTCAATCCATGCTTAATAATTGCAAGTTATTATTTAATCTAAATCAGTGGTTCTCAAGTGGGGTCAAATTTACCCCCTAGAGAACATTTGGCAATGTCTAGAGTCCTAGTGTGGCACTGTAGGTTAAATACTCGACCTTAAGGTCAGTGAGAATCACAGGGTCAGCAGTTCAAACTCACTAGCCGCTCCTTGGAAACTCTAAACAGGGTCACTATTAGTTGGAATCCACTCAACAGCTCTTAACAATAAACAACAAGACATATTTTGGATTGTCACAACTGGGAAGTGTTACTGGCATCTAATAAGCAAAAGTCAGGAATGCTGTTATATATACTACAATGTTCAAGAAAGCAGTCTCCTACAACACAGAATCAACTGGTCCAGCCCAAAATGTCAATAATGCCCTGACTGAGAAGCTTTAAGCTAGATCAGAACTATAAATACATCACCTGTACAATAAACATATACTCATACCATGGCAAACAATCTGAACGTGGAAGCAAACATCCTGAAATGTACACTTTATACAGTAATGTGGGTGTTCTTGTGCATATGTCCTCTCTTCTTATTAGCTGGATGTTTCATTCTACATTCTAGTCCTCTGTGGCTATGCCACTGACTGTGGATCCAGGAGTCCCCAGGTCTTGTCAAACTGCTGGCTAACCAGGTCTCCACTCGGGTTCACAGGAGTGTATTGAACGTGGTTGGGTTCACAGGAGTGTACTGAACACAGCTTCATTGCTGTTTTTCCCTCACTTCCCCTTATCGGTGACCAACAGAGTCACCAGTCAGAGCACGTGTCTGCTCGTGTGTTCCGACTGAGTCTCAGTCTTGGAAGGGGGTTTGCCTTCAGGAGACCCGAACGCTTGCCTTGATGCCAAGGACAAACTTTTAAAGGTAAAAAATAAAGCCATAAATACAAAAAGAACCATAAACAAAGAGAAAAATTCAGTAAATAAACTGGAGGGGACAAAAGTATTACAGATCAGCAATAAATTATTATCCCTAATGTTTAAACAAGGAGCTCTGATAGCATATCGGTTACGAATCGGGCTGTGAACTGCAATGTCAGCAGTTCGAAACTATCAGTTGCTCCGCGGGAGAAAGATGAGGCTTTCTGCTCCCGTAAAGATTTACAGCCTCGGAAACCCTGTTTAGGGTCGCTATGGGTCAGAACTGACTTGACGGCACTTAACAACAACAACAACATTTAAACAAACTTAAAAATTAGGGAACAATTGACAGAGACAGGCAAATCACAAATACAGACATAAATTCGGCTCCTTAACATGTGTAAATATGTTCAACCTCACACAAATAAGAGAAATGCCTATTAAGATGGCACTGAGTTCCCATTCTTACCTACTGTTGCTATTGTTTTAAGTGCCAAGGAGTTGGACACCCTATGCAGGACAGACAAAGCACTGCCTGGCCCTGTGCCATCCTCACAATAGCTGTTAGGTTTTACCCCATTATTGCTGCCACGATGTCAACTCATCTCATTGGGGGGAAGGGGGAGGTCTTCCTCTTTTTTGCTGACCCTTTACTAAGTATGATGTTCTTTACCATGAACTGATCCTGAAAATTTGTCTGATGTATGAGTGGCAGTTTTCCTATCCTTGCTTCTAAGGAGGATCTGGCTGTAGTTCTTCCAAGACACATTTGTCCTTCTAGCAGTCCATGGCACTTTCAATATTCTTTGACAATACCATAACTCAATGCATGATTCTTCTATGATCTTGCTTATTCACTGTCCAACTTTCATATGCATATGAGGTGACTGAAAAATAACATGACTTGGGTCATACACACCTTAAAGTGACATCTTTGCTCACAGTCCAGTAACAAGGCTATTCATTTTGATACTACTCATAATTATAAAAGACTGGAAATAATTTAAATACTCATACATAGGTATCATGGAATAAATTGTGTTATTCCAAATTAGTGTCAGCTTGGCTTGGTCAAGATTGTCAGTGGTTTGGAAGTTAAGTAATGATATAATGTGGCAGTTATTTGACAATTTCCCATAATGTAATCTGATGTGATAAACTAGTAAAAGGATTAAGGGTTGGCTGTAATACTCTTAATCTCATCACACCTCTGAGCTGAAGTAATTCAAACTTACCAGATGCTCCTCAGAAGCCCTATACAGGGTCACTATGAGTTGGAACCGACTTGATGGCACTTAATAGTGAGAGAATAAATTTGTTAAGGCATCCACTTGTAGTATTTCTGTTATAGCAGCACTAGTTAACTAAGACAACAGGCGAGTAGTTGAATTAACTCTGCTACTTCTACACAATGTGTAGTACAATGCCATAAACATTGAATGATGCCACCATGGGATCCACAGAAGTGTTACTAGTTATGTTGGAAATGTCCCCAAGAAGCAGAGAAAAACCATGACAAAAAAAAGTTGAATTACTTGATATGTACTGAAGATTGAGGTCCGCAGCTGCAGTTGCCCGCCATTTAAAGATCAATGAATCTAGTGTAAGGAGAATTATAAAAAAGAAAAGGATATTAAGTTGTTGCTGAAGCTATGCCAATAGACGTGAAAATCTTGCACTTTGTGTAAAATATCTTTTATGTTGTATTGAAAAGGAGCCCTGTGAATATAATATATATAATACATATAACATATAAAACATGTACATTGACTTGTTCATGTTATCAGTGTAAGGGTTCCTTCTGGTCAACAGTAGGCTACTAGTAACTAGGGTGTTTTTTTGTTTTTTTGTTTGTTTTTAATGCTTTCTTGTGAATTATGTGATAGTTCACATGGGAGGACATCAGCTTCACATTGATCCTGTCGCACATCGTTTCCTAGCCATGGTCACAATCCCCTCAATGCATTACCGACCAACCAAAGGGTACACCCCACAAGCCTGCCCCCTATCGTCCACACACCACTCCTCTCCCTCTCCAGGTCCAAAGTCTCCAGCCACTCAATCACCCCATGTCATTGTCTCTGCCTCCATCCCTGGCATCACTGCTTCTCTGGGTAGGGTTCCGTGCTCTGCTCTTCTCCTTCGATGGTCCCAGAGACCTCCGTTTCTAGTAGCTAGGTTTTTGGGGAGTCAAATTACAGGCAGATTTTCTACTGCAAGGGAGGTTGCCACACTTAACCCCCATGTTGTTCAATATGCCAACTATATTTGCTCATTTATGCAAAAAGAAATACAAGAAAGACAAATCAGAAACTAATGAAACTGGTTACCTACAGTGAGTGACTGGGAAACTGGGAAAGGGACTGGGAGAGTTATACTTCTCTGGGTACACCTTTTTTACAGTTCTGATTTTATAATAATTTTAGTGTTTCATAAATTCAAAATAAAGGCACAAAATCATTAAGATTGGCGGGCAGGGGAGGCTAGAAGGGAATATAAACAAAAATAATCAACCAAGTATATTTCTATTGAATAAAACAAGGATATTGGCAGGAACTGGACATGGTAGTCAAACTAATCTAAATAACTTTTGACCACAGTATTCTGACTAAACTCTCAGGCTAAAGAGAGAAAAACTGTAAACAAATACTAAACTCATTAGATTTTTTTTCACAGACGTACTCTAAATTCTAAAATTTAAAAATAATTTTCTTAGCTTTCTAAGATCAAGTAAGCAAGTATTATGGATACAGGAACCAGGTTTCTCACTGCCAGAAAACAGCAGAAGGAATCCTTAGTTCTACATAAAATATAAAAATATCAATATGAACTCCTTGTTTTAATATATCTTAGAAATCTATATGTTGCTGTTGCTGGGTGCTGCTGATATTAATGATATTATTTTATAATTTCTACATTGTGTTGAATCACCTTTCTTTGGAATGGGGACAAATATGGATCTCTTCCAGTTGGCTGTTCTGTAGTTGTCTTCAAAATTTCTTGGCATAGACAAGTGAGCACTTGCAGCATCGTGTCCATTTGTTTAAGTAGCCACATAGTTTTGGAGACTGCAAATCTTCACAGGAGCAGGCTCATCTTTCTCCCTCGGAGTGGCTGGTGGGTTTGACCATCAACCATGAAGTTAGCAGCTTAATAGCTAACTCACAGCGCCATGTTGTTGTTGTTGTTAG